AATAAAATAGCTACTGCAGTGTACGCAGAGCATCACAAGAACAAAGAACGGCTCTCAGTGAGGCTTCAGTAAAGAACTGTCCAGAAGAATCGGATCATTCCTGAATGTCATATCACTATATTGCAGACTTTGGTTGCATCATTGTCCCATACATGCGACATGTCAGTCAACACCTCTGCACAATAATTCAGTGCATGAGTGACAACTTTTTTTCATTGCAGATGCAACAAATGTGTCTCTGTACAGCTAGCTTTGTTAACATCACGTCCACAGAGCTTACCTTTTTAAGCTTCCTTTCCAAGTGACGATAAAAGTTGGACGAAGCGCTGCTGATTTTACATGTCGCCATGTCTTATGATTTATGTTGAGAGGAATTGTATTACTGACAATTAGACACCTAATCCCGCTTAGAGAAAACCACTGCGCATGTTTTGGAGCTCCGCGTGCGAGTGAGAGGGGGAGGCGATGGGTGACAACAGACACGCTGTTAGTAAGTCACGTTATTACTTGGATTTTACAGCGCCATGTTAAGTCCCTGAACTTCACATTCTAACGAAAAAAAAGCGCAATGCGTCTTCGATGTAACGAGTAACGCGATGGTTTTGTAAAAATGTAGTGAAGTAGAAAGTACAGATATTTACTGTAAAAATGTAGTGGAGTAAAAGTCAAAAGTATCCATTATTAAATATACTTAAGTAAAGTACAGATACACAAAACTTCCGACCACTGGGTTTCAGTAAAAGTCCTGCTTCTGTGGAGGTGATTGCTGCTAACCAAAGCAGAGTTCAGCCTCTGTTGGACGGATTCCATTTCAACTTTAAGCTCATCTTTCTCCTGTTTCATACTTTCCCAGACACAGCTTTCTCTGTGGTTAAATAAGATTAAATTTGTATCATTCAGCCATGATATAACTCTGTGTCTCAGCTATGGAAAAAAAAACATAGCATTCATTTCTGCTTATGCCCCAAGCATTTATGATGTTGACTTTTGTGATATGGTAGCTAACTCTATGCTTGATCTTGTAGGTTTTCATTTGGTGCTAGGTGGAGATTTCAACGCAGTCTGGGACAGCTGTATGTACAGAACGGGTGGTGTTGAGAGTAGGGACCAACGTGTTTCATCTCAGGTGCTCCAAAAGTGGGCAACAAATACAGGCTTGGTCGACATTTGGCGCATGTTTTACCCATCGTTAAAAGACTTCTCATTCTACTTAGGGAGGCATAAAACCTTCTCTCGGCTTGATCTTTACTTTGAAAGATTTATTTAAAAATGTTCAAAATGCATACTGTGTCCCATTTGTCTGGTCTGATCACAACCAATCTGCTGCTCAGTCACAATTCGCTCATCATCTTCTAAAGCCCCTAGGTGGCGCTTTAACTCATCCTTATGTAACCTGATTGTATTTCTCTTGTGAAGATTTGGGTTTTCGCTGTGTTTATTTTGGCTTATGTTCCTTGTGAGTCTCTGTGTTGTCCTGTCAGCCCCTGATTGTTCCCAGGTGTGTCTCGTTCCCTTGATTACCCCCGTGTGTATTTAAGTCCACCTGTTGTCTCTGTCTCTTGTCGGGTTCTCGTCTTTGTCAGCGTCAGTCTGTCGGTGTGTTCGTCGTCAGAGTAGAACTGGTTAAGTCCTGTGTCGGCGTCAGCTCCAACTATTCGGTCTTAACTCAACAGTTGCTACCGGTGTTAAGCACTAGCGTTGTTCTCTGCCGTGCTGCCTGTTTACTGGACTGTCGAGCTGTTTATTAAAATTCTTCATCATCATCGTCACCTTCATCCTGGGTCCTGTCTGCGTTTCTCCCTCACCGCCAAACCATACGAATCATGACATCTCTTTTGTTATAATTACACAAAATGTCTTTTTTTGGTTATTTGTATTGCTCCTTACCTGACTGAAATAACTCATCGTTTTAACCGTGTTACTTTAGATCGGAAGCCCCGCCTTTTTATTTCTTCTTCTGTGGTACTGTCTTTAAATTGTTTGCGCCCCTTACACCCTCCCCTTTTGTCATGTTGTCCTGCGGGAGAGTGTGTGCTGTTTAATTTTTAATCTAAATGCATCCAATTTATTTATAGATCTAAGTTAATTTTTGTTATGTACTTTTGTTTTGTGTAGGACTTGAAGCGGGCAGCCTTTAACACAGTTGTTTTGTCTTTGTTATTCTCATCAGTTCTCGTCAAAATAAATCGAGAAATCACCATTTTAAAGACGAACCGTGTAACGCCCTGATCACTCAATAACCACCACAACGCAGAAAGGATCCCGGTTACACTTACTGAGAGATGAAACATTTAAAGCTCAGTTTGAAAGCAATTTCAGTGAGTTCCTGGAGTTTAACTTTGGTTCTGTCTCTGATTTTCTGGGATTCTCTGTGAAGAGATTTATAAGGAGTAATACTGCTTTATATGCCTCAACACGAAATAAGGAATGTGCTGCTAATTTACAAGCTTTAGAAATGAAATATGCAACCCTTGATTCTATTTTGCAACATAACGACTACATAGCCCTGCAAAAGGAACTGGTTGAAGAGATGAATTGTCTATTGAGACGCTGTTCGGAATTCCTCATGCACCTCGGTGAAAGTAGGCGGATACTGTCGGGTACTGCGTACCCCTAAAATATTTAGCGGGGTACGCAGTACCTGCAAGTATGGAAGCCCATTTCCGCCATTAAAGAAAATAAATAAATAAATAAAGACCAACAGGAAGTCATAATTTCGACTTTCAAAGTCATAACTTTCTTACCCTTTTGTATCTGCCACAGTCTAATATTTAAAAAAATAGTTTGGGCATCTTGCTTTTAGCTCAGAGTCTGAGAGGCTTTTCCTCTTTCAAACCATTTTTTGCGTCTTATTTAGTGGAAATATTGATGTTGTTGAAAATTTCTCCAAAATAATAACCTTTTTCAACCTTTATAGCTCCACTGTTGAAAATGAGAAGCTAACATTCACAAATGACAGTGAAATAAAATCCAGTCCAACATCTGGTTTGAGATGATTCCTCTGGAACCTGTTGGAGGAAAAATATCCCAACTTCAGAAGATGAGCTTTAACCTAACAGAGCTCTGAGGTTCCTCCTGTCAGGATGAGGAGGAGCCATGTTAGGAAGATGAAGCTGCAGGATCTTCAGAACAAACAGGTCATGATGCAGGGCTGCTGATTATTCCTCTTTCTGGACACAGGATCAATATAACCAGTTTAAAAGCTAAAATGAATGGTTATATGCCAGACATGGAAAACTGGGATGCTCTCCATGCCATGATGTTCAGAGTTTAGGTCTCATGGCTTCTTGTGGTGTCAGCATTGCAGCCAGTGGGCTGAAGGAAATACAGCTTTATTTTGCAAGAGCTACCCAGATTAGTGTTTTTGTCACAATTGTGCAGCATTCTTCTCTGGTCTTGATATGGAATTGGTGCAAATAGATATTATCCCTTCATTCTCAGTTTATAACTGAACAGCCTTTTTCCCCATCCTGCCTTGTGATTGTGCTGCATATAGTACCTGTGGTGTTGCAGCCAGCAGCCTCTCCTCTACAGTCCCTGGACTGGGACTCTTTCTCTCTATAGCTGGTGCTATAGCTTGATGACACTTTTAGGTGCTCAGCCTTATTGTTATTGTCAGCTATGTGTCCGGATAACTGAGCTTCTCACCCTATCTCTAATGAGCCCAACTTACTGCTTGTAAGTGCGGACCAGACTCTGACACCGGTCATACAGGGACCTGACAGGGGGGCCCGGTCCCCCATACTCCCAGCAAATGTCTATAACTCAAAAGTAAGTTAATTTAAATGCAGTTAGTATTGGTTTGGGCCTCCTTTTGCATGAACTACTGCATAAGTGTAGCGTGGCATGGAGGAGATCCGCTTGTTCCTCAGTCTCTGGACATGAGCAATGGGACATGTGTCTTCCATGGTTGGGGTCTCTGTGCTCTGACACCTTGTGAAGCTTTCCCAAATGCTTCAGTTCTTCCTGTTGCTGGTGCATCTTTTCCTACCACACTTTTCCCTTCTGCTCAACTTTCTATGAATAAGGTATCTTTACTTATTTTTATTTATTTTTTTACAATGTTCATATTTTAGAGACATGATTTATAAACTCTAATCATTAAAATTACAAGAAATAAAAGCTTGAAATCTTCCACTCTGTGTAGAGTCTATATACGTTATATATTTAATTTTCTTTAATGAGGGACAAAAACTCTTGAAGTTTTTCATGATATTCTGAGTTGGTGTGTCTGTGTATTGCTGCAGCTTGCACTATGTGCTGTAATCTTTTGAATGTATTTGAATCATTCAGGTTTGGTTGTCAGTGGTTACTTGTCAAGAGACAATTGTTGGTTTATGGCTTTCTCTTGTGTGTGTGTGTGTGTGTGTGCGTGTGCGTGCGTGCGTGCGTGCGTGTTCTCTAGCGGGTGCCGAAAGCAGAGACAAAAAGACTTTATAGTTGTCACAGTTCTGGATGAACAATGTAACAAGAGAGGCCTGTTCAGGGTCAGGCACAGCGGTCAGTGTCCTCATGTGACTCTGGTGTCATGCTCCACTTTTCTCCAGTTCTTGGAGAGCGAAGTGGAGAAATGACGTTGAGGATTAAATGAATGTCTGTGTGCAGTTGAAGCACATCTAGAAAGTTCCAGGTTTGTGTGAGTTCATGTTGACGTGAGCTGAAGTTTCCATGACCAGAAATAGTGTTGGTTCCAGAGTTATCCTGTTTATTTTTATTTATTTATTTAAATTTCCTTTATTCAACCAGTTAAACCCTATTGAGATCTAGATCTCATTTTCAAGAGGGACCTGGGCAGAAGTCTGCAATACACAGCAACCTGGTTTCCAAAACTGTTAAATCTCATGATCTAACGGGTTGGGTTTGGGGTTAGCCTCTGGATTGGTTCCTATTGTTGGCATTTCTGCAGCCAGCTCTGGCATCCTGCTCTGTCTCCACTTAAGAGATTAATTTTTTCTTAGGTACTTGCAGTATTTTTTTCTATCTGTTATAATGAAAAGAGAGAGGACAAGAAAAAGGTCACACTTTGAGTTTAGCACAGGAATGTTTCTTGTTCCTCCTGTTTTATCTCATATGAGCAATGAGCTGAACTCAGACCTGCCCTGGCCCCATTCCTCAGCAGATACTCAGTAAGGTTCTCATCTCCTGTCTTTTCTCCTCTGCAGTGGGTGCTGGCATTTGAAATTTTCATCCCATTAGTCCTCTTCTTCATCCTCCTGGGTCTGAGGCAGAAGAAACCAGCGATCCCCGTCAAGGAAGGTATGCAGGATGGAGACTGCAGTAAACTCTGTGTTCATGTTCATCCTCTAAAAGTTTGTGAGGCTCACACAGATATCTGGAAAGAGACTCCTCAGCTCTCCTTTATGTGCAACTTCCAAAGCTTTGTGCAAGAGCAGTAGTTTGTTGTCCAGGAAAGCTCACCTGTACCCAAGGACAAATCCTCCATGTTTAATATGGAGGAAGACGTCCACGCCAAGGGTGGGAAGTTCTATAAAACACCAAACGATTTCCATTTTTATCCCAGTCCTTAGTGCTGACTCAGTGCCACACCTGGAATGCTTTAAATGGCACATTCTGCCTTTTTATAGTTATTTGCTAAATAAACATTCTATATATATTTAAAAAGGAAAGAAGACATTTTTCAGAATTGGGGTGTCGAGATAGTGAGGAATTTCTCAGAATAGTTTCTAAATTGCCTGTCCCAGTAGTTTATTACTAAATTAGAATAACTTCTGTAGTTATGGCAACGCTTTTTCTAGACTCAGATTTGTCCTGCGGGTGCATCTTCTGGTCCTTGAATAGTTAGTTTCTGTAAATATTTAAAAAAAAATTATTGTTTTTAATTAACAATTTGATTAAATTCCAATTTCTTTAGAAGAGCAATCATCAAAATGCCAGTGCCTTTGAAGGTCTTTGTTTTGACAGTGGACATGATGTAAAAGTTTTAGTTGACGTTGTTTCTATATGAAATGATCACATGTGATGTGTCAACAGAGATTCTTTGACTGTAGCAGTGTGACCAGTATCCAGTTTGAGACGTGTTGTTGGCTCATTCCTACTGGTTGGACTCTGATTAAAGTTTTTAATTGAGTTAATTGCAGGGTGTGTAATTAAATAATTGGATTTGAATAAAAAATCTATACATCAGTAAAATAGGCTCTGCACACTTATGTAGCTATTTTAACATTTTTAATAAAAATAATTGCATGACCTGTAAATAATTAATCACAATTCATCGCGTTTTAATAAGAAAAGATGACACTGTTTCAGGCTGCAATAGCTTCACTGACAGATTAACTCCTTTTAGCACAACTTGAACACAACGATAGTCGATGACTTTTTGAAGCAGAATGAATCCCCAGGAGGCCAACAGAATCAGCTTAGTCATCCATCTGTTTGCAGATGCTGGTTGTGCATTACATTTACAGTTAATCAGAAATGTGTGAATACCAAAAAAAGTGATTAATTGCCTCAAAAATTTTAACACATTACAATCAATGTAATTAATCAAAATGGACATGTGAAAGTCCCAAACCTTGTTACTTCACTTTGACTGTAAGTCTTGTTGTAACAGAATGTTGCATCCTGCCCACTTTTATCCAGAATAAAAGAAGCAGTGACTTCTGATTTTGCTAAATTTTAATGAGGTTTTCTGCTCATGAGAAGCTGTGTCTGCATTTAGAAGTGGAGTTCTGCTTAGCTTTTTTCATATTATGCTACTTGATGTCTGTCATTTAGGATTGCATAGTGCTATGAAAATGTTTTTCCCCCTGATAGATTTCTTTTGTTTTTGCTTTCTTAATGGACTTAAATGTTCATGTCTGACAAGGACAAGCAGAACAAATGGCAAAAGTAGTTTTCAATGTTTGATTTTATTGATTAAGGGAAAGAAACTATCCAAACCAACCCAATCCCAGCCCACAACAACAGCAGCTGTCTCCAAGGTTTTTACCTTCTATTCTTTTTGGCAAAGAATTCTGGATTTCAAATTGTTTTGATGATTTTATAAACTTTTCAGATTGATGGCAAGCAGCAGTTACTTCTTTAAGGTCATTGATATTTCAGAACTTACAGACATCATCAGACTGATGAAATGAGACTCTATTTGCTCTGTGTTCTGCTCTGACTCACTGTCAACAACCTGCAAGCTGCTTCTTTCTTCTTCCAGTAGTGGGACTACAGAGTGTTTGCTGCTCTGACCTGTCCAGCTCTGCTTTTTACTTCAGTTAGTGTGGTCTCTTTGTATGCGTATGCGTGTGTGTGCGTGTGTGTGTGTGTGTGTGTGTGTGTTTGTGTGTGCGTGTGTGTGTGTGTGTGTGCGTGTGTGTGTGTGTGTGAGTGACTGACTGTACAGACAACAGTTTTACTTGTAGGTTTTTACTCTACCTTTATACTGAGCTATATTGCTGTTTGGTTATATTTTGCATGTGTTCTGTAAGCACATTGTTGTCTCAACATGTCTTTTATTTGATCTTTTCATTGTTTGCTTGCAGTTGAAACCAGAAGTTTACATATGCCCTTTTCTCCCTGTCTGAGATGAAACCGTTTAGATCAGTTAAAATGACCAAAATTATTAGTATCTGCTAAATGCTACACTAATTAGATAACATGCAACAATTATTTATGAATATCTTCAAAATCAGAAGTTTAGATACACTTCCTCAGCATAGCACTGCCTTTGAACTGTATGACTTGGACCAAACCTTTTGAGTTTTTGCCATTAATTTGCTGGAATTCTGGTCCATTCCTCCTGACGGATCCTTCACTGTCAGACATTTGGAAATTGTTCCTAAGGATGAGTCAGACTGGTGCAGCACTTCAGTTCTCCTCCTGATATTTTGGCTGATTTCTTTTGGTATAGAGAAGTTTGGTCTGAATTGTCCTCAAGCAATGAGAAAAAAGGGGTCTGTGTCTTTTAAGTCAATGTAGCTACATTTCTGGTTTCAGTTGTATGTCATTTAGTGATGTGACATATCTTGTCACCATCCTATGCAGTAGTTTAGTTTTGTTCAGATCAATCCTTACTGGATTCTTTTTAGCTTTGGTTCCCTACAGCGCCCCCTGTTGCTTGCACCAACTGAACGATCGCATCCAGTTGATGCGCCTTTGTTTTTGTTCTCTCATCTTCCCTCTGCCTTCTGTCTGCTGTTCTTCCTTTGTTTCTCTCTGTCTGTCCATGGTTCTTTTCGTTCCTGTGCATGATGCATGTTCTCAACCTGTTGGACGGAGCAGTGTGTAAGTGTGTTATGAACAGAAAACTGTCCCTGGTGACGACATATGAATCAGGATGTGCTGTCCTCCTCTACCTGTGTGACTTTATCTCATTGTGTATCTTTAAACTAAATGTTGTTTAACCTTGAATTTACAAAAACGGTCATTCAGCAACACAGCAAGCTGTTGTCTATAATGCAACATAAAAAAATGTTGTTTGTGAGTTAGAAGGTTTAAAGTAGCAACAGAAGTCCAAACTTTGTGTGACATTTCAGTTTAGCCTCAGAGAGTCAAGGAGGATTTTCTGGTCTAAACTCAGACAGTTGGAACTGATTCCAGCCTGAGCCACCGGATGGCAATCAGGGACTTCCCACCAACAGCAGTGCCAGTCTCAGTGGGATTGGAGTGAGATTCGGTATGCTCACCTGATGATTTGAGACCAGCAGTGTTTAATATTTGACTCAGGAACTGGCTGACGGATCCGGCTGCTGGTGCTTTGTGTGACACATCGACCTACTTCAGCTCTGATCTGAAGAGACGGGGAGCTCATGTCATTCCACAGATAATCCAACTTTTTGAGAATGTTGAGCCTCAGAGGTTTCAGGGGCGATACTAAAAAGTTTTAAAAACATTTTGATTGGTTGTGGGTCTCCATTAGCCTGGTTGATTCAGCCAGTGATGGTAGCCTCTGCTATCAGTGGAGAAACACCAAACTGTTCAAGTTCAGCACTGGAAGCTCTCTGACGAGGGAGAAGACCTTCAACTCATCACTTGCAATAGAATCATACAATCTTCTAAAACACTTGTCGTGATTCATTTGTTGGTTTTGCTCCAGATGTTTCCTTTGTGATACAGACGCCTTCATTCCTGTGAAGGATCTGGGATCAGGCTGATAAATCAGACACAGAAGTAACTTTAAACACTATGAAAACAATCAATATTTTATGTAACTGTTGTTTTCATTTCATTTTTCTCTACAAGAGTAGACTGTTGTTCCAACTGAGTAAATGTTTTCTCATGCTTTAAAACAGCAGAAGCTGTTTTTATGTGATAACTTATAAACAAGTCTTGCCTGTAAGCTGGTCTGTGCTTGCTGAATGACCGACTGCAGCAGTTCTGATTACTGCAGGTCCCTCTGAGTCTCGGTGTCAGGATGGTAACGGAGCCAGCGCATGAACTTCCTCATCTCACACTGCATCTTCCTGCTTTCCACTACTTGTGTAACAGATCAGAGTGCAGCCCTACATGGAGGAAGTCTAAAGTGATGAGGTTCATGGAGGAGCTCAGAAAACTTCACCACACTACAAGAAAGATGCACCAACTGGCAGCTTTAACTGTCCACTTGTTGTTGTGTTATCATCATGAATGGTTTGAGTCATCTAAACGTAGAATAAACTTTGTGTCCAGAAACAAGACCACCAACTAGGTCTAAAAACCTGCTGGCCACTAAACTTCCTCTCTGAGAACATTTGTTGATCATCATATTCTCCATCACTTTTCTAAATAATAACTTTGATGTGACTGTTTAAAGCAGCAGTGTGTTTTGATGGAGCAGCGCTGGCTCTAGTACCATCCTGTGGTGTGCTTCCTCTTGTCCAGTCTGTTTAACTCTGTTCCACTCAGCAGGGTGAAAACCTCATAATGTCTTTCTATTCTACTGATGATGGATTTATTTTCTGTACTTATCCTGAATTCCCTCCTGGATGGTCAGAGAGGACTCATGTCAGCATGCTGATAGTTTCTGCAATTTCTTCTGGTTAAAAGTTTTTCTTTTTTGTGTGTGTAAAATTACATTTTATTTAGATTCCTCCTTTTCCTTTAACTAAAAGATCGGCTGTAGAAAGGTTAACTTCGTAACATGCAGTATTGCCTCGTCGAGTGGGATGTTAAGTAAATGTGTTAAAAGCCATGCTTTATATATTGCAGCAGCTTATGCAAAAAAATCCAACCATTAGTTAGCATACATTTAATCAGCCTGGAAAAGGTGGAGATAATAGTTTTGTTGTAAAGTAAACATGGTACAATGGTGTGAACCTTTAACAAAATGACATAAGATTTTTATTAGTCATGTTTCTAGAACCTAATGAAATTGGTGTGATAAATAAATAAAGTCTTAATCAGTCCTGATGGAGCTGCATAAGAGTGAGTCTGATTTCACAGCTCTTGGAGAAAAAGCCGTTTTTTAGCTACATGATTGTGAACTGTGTGTCTGTACCGTTTCCCTGATGGTAGCGGTACAAACAGTTTGTGTCCTGGGTGAAGGATTTATTATGTGATTGAGGGATTTATTTGTTATGTGTAACTTTATTAGTTTTGATCAAAGTTTCTATTAAGTTTGAGTTTTCCATAACTTTGTGCTCATGTTATATAAAACAGAAACCCATTGTATTAGTGATGGTAAAGCAGGTGAAACCTCTCCAAAGCTCACTGTGATGCTGGGGGCCAGTTTCCCTTCCATATGGCCCCGAACGCCGCCAGTGTGAAGGACAGCAGTCCAGGGCTCAGAGTTATGAATGATGAATGTTTAACAGCAGACATTGCACCTTATATAAATGTTTTAAAATGGTTACATTTTTATCGATATAAGCAACATTTAAAATACATCTTTTTGGGACCAGTGTGGAGTCACCTCCACATTGGGATGTTTTGTTGTAGGTCTACCTATAAATGTACTGTAATCTGCATAAGTAAATTCCTTTTCTCATACTACTTTTAAGTAGTATGAGCTTTTAAGTAAGAGTTTGGTCAACCGAAAACGGGTCGTTTTTGAGGCTGTCAGCTGGATAATGATCTAACGTGCATGAAAAATCAATACAGAAATGGTTCACCAGACACTATTGAATCTGCAGACCTAAAGTCAGTAGAAAGTTTATTGAAGAAGCTCAGGAAGAGACCTTTGCTCTTTTCACATCTTTCCAGTGTCAAGTGTCCTATAATTTCATGGCTTCCTACACTTGAAAAGGAGGACTTGAAGACTTCAGGAATTCACTCATT